CAAACTTAAGTGCGCCAAGGATGAAGGAACTTATCCAGCGGCATTTCTAACTGGCAAGGTTATGGGTAGAGGAGGAGGCCTATAAACTTGGCTCTTTCTTTTAAGCTTGTATGGTTCTTATGGTTTTTGGTGATTTTTCTAGTTCAGAGTTTGGAAAGTAGAGTTCTTGATATGGAGATAATCTGAAAGGTTTTATTTTGAGATACCTAATTTATCCTATTATAAATTTGAGTACTCAATAAGCTGGTTGTGTATAACAGCTTGCCTTTTTGTCCAATTTATAGACTTTATCCTATGGTAGAAGATAAATAAATTTATTTCTAAATCAAATTTCCCTTTCTTCCATATCATCCACTGCCATCTCTCTAGCCCTAACTGCCGTTCCATATTGTCGACTTATCGTGGCGTACGATTTCATCATAATCTGTAATTAGTTTATAATGCGCACAGGAAGTGCTAGAAAGGAAGCGGCGAACGGGACAGTGCCAACAGCTCCTGACTTAACCTTTCAGTTAAACGGCAAACTGCGATTAGGGGCCAAGTCGATAAACATAAACGTTAATGGTAAAATTTTTTAATTAAGAAAATCAATGAATATTTTTTCTTCCACTTCCACTTCCACTTCCACTGCCTCTTCCAGTTTTATTTTCTCTTTGCCTTGACTGCATTATGGGTATTTTGCTGTTTAGCTTCCATTGCCATTTCCTTCACTTTGGATGGCACAATTTTAACATTTATGACTTGCGATTTTCATGACTCTCGAGGATAATGGAAGGCCCGGAGGAAAAAAACCCGTCTTTGGAGAGAGATTTCCTCTTCTGTTTTTTTTCTGTATATATTTAATAAGCTTGAAAACAAACTTGGCTATCTGGCAATTATTTAATGCAAACGTCTATAAATTTTAATTGTCCTTTTTTCTATTGTTGTTGTTGTTGTTGCTATTACGCCCTGGCTATTTAATTATGAATCACAATTTATGCGGCTGCCTAAGTCAACAGAGTTAAAGCGTTTAATTAAATCGCAAAAACAGGACAGCTTAAAGCCGCAACAAAATCAAAGCCGCAAGTACAAAGATAAATAAGTGGCATTGTCGGTTTCATTTCCGGCTGCAACATTTGCATTCAAATCGCCGTGTGGCTGTGTGGGTACCTTCCGTCTGTGTCTGTGTCGGTGTTAGTGTCGGTGTCGGTGTGTAAGCGGTGTATAAGTAGACTTCCAACTGGTTTTATATTTAGGCGTTTGCCTTTGCCTTTGCCTTAAAAGCAGAGAAGGAAAGCAATAAAAAGCAGCACGCCGCGACTGTGAATTTAAGGCAAAAAGTGGGGGGGGTTAGATGGCCTTGCTGGGTGGCACTCTCCCACTTAACAGCAGCTGTCGCTTCCGTAACGCCCACCACCCCATTTGTATTGGCTGCCGCGAGTTGGCCTCGACTGTCTTTCAGCTTCTCACTTCATCAGTTACGCCAAAAAAAAGACTCTACAATAAATTTCGCTGATTGCTTCCGTTCTTTCTTATTTTTTATTCTTCTTTTTTTTTCGGCTGCCCCTTCGCATCTACGCTGGCTCATTTTTTATGCCGCTTGATAAAGTAATATCCGTTTTAGGTTCATTCGGTTGTAGGTACTGCGAACTAGACCTTACAGCACTTTGGCGGACTTTACAATACCCTCAGGGCATCAAGAAAGTGGTAGAAAGTCAGTTTAGAGGATTTTTGCGGTGGGGTTCCCTTTGGACTTGATGGTAATGTTAGGGCATATTGAAATTTTTAATAGTATTGAGTTGCTAACAATATTCGAATGTTATAAATCTAATCTAATCAGCTTGAAACTCATTAAAAACTTTAAGAGTAACCCCGAAAACCAGCCATTGCCACAAAGTCAGGCTGAATAATTAAGGGGTATTAACTACAAGGTATACAAAAAATGTCAGTTGCTGCAAGTAATGTTCCAACTTTGGGCTATAATTTGGTGGTCCTGCTTCATGCACCATGCCCCTCACCCTAACAAACTGCAGCAGTTTTGTGGGTCTAACACAGATTTGTGGCCTTGGCTGTTGGGAGAGAGTTCGGTGGCCCATGGGGGGGCGTATGCGTCATATCAGCACACGCATACGCCGTGTAGGTCAATGTTGTTAGACCAAAGCGAGAGTGAGTGTGTGTGTGTGTGAATCTAACCATGTGTGCGCGTGTACTGGTGTAGGTGTAATTGAAACTTCCGCTTTGGTCAGTTAGCGCAATTTAGCAAGCTGCAAAAAAGTTAGGCACGGCTGAAGTAACAGGCAAAGTGCAAAGTCCATTGCAGCTACTTGGCTTTCATTTCAATTTAAACTTTGGCAACCCAAAGCCAGCAAATACACATACACACACATGTGGATATGCACACACACTCTCACATTGCACACAGGACACAGGCAGTCATGGAGAGTGAAAATTATTTAAAATGATTTATTTCACAACAATTTTCATTAGGTGGCCAACTGCAATGCAGGTTGGCCCCTTACTTTTTTGGCCCCCTGCTCTGGACTAATTCACTTTTGCTGATTTCTGTGAAAAAATATGCGAAAAATGCCTTGAGAGTTTTGGTTGAATGTGAATCTACATGGCCACCCCCCCTGCACTCATGTTTCATATATGCGAAATAATTATATGTGCGGTCAGCAGAGTCGCTGCCAAAAGGCCGCCGCCGACTGGCTGCGGGCAGTGCAGCATTTTTTCCTGGCAGTTTCTATACAACAAAAAAAAATGAATAAGAAAAAATATAGAAAATTTGTGGCTCTGCTACATGTTCCATGTTCTTCCTCGTGCATAACTTTTGCGGAGATTTCCCCTTAGATGAGGGACACGCCCCGCCCCCTCACCCATTTAACAGCCCCCAGGGCCACTGTCATCGTCTGTGTGTGCAAAATTAGTGGCAACCAAGCAAAGATGCAAGTGGAGGTGGGTCGAAAGAAAAAAAAAAAAAAGAAAAACGCCAAAGGAAAATGGGACTGGCTAAAGGTTAACAAGCGTCAGACAGGGCAGCAACAAACCCTGGGAATTACCCAGCAGCATCAGCAACAGCAACGGCACCAACAAAAAGAACTTATAATTTTTTGGCCACTATACACACACACACACACACGCATACACAGAAGCCATAAAAATGGCTGAAAAAGAGTCTGGCCAAAAGAGGGAATGTTAATGAAAAGCAAGCGTGAAATAAAATCATAAATTTTCCAAGCTGGGGGAGTGAAAAATGCAAGTTTTCCACAGCGGGTTTTGTTTTGTTATTATATGGCATTTGTATGCACATGCGGACGACGAGTTGGAGGAATACTTAGAGCTAGAGCAGGGAATTGGACTCGGGTGAGTGCATTTGCGGTAAGCCCCCGAATGCATACAATGATAATGTTATACTTGGGGAAAGTGCCAGTATGTAACCAGTAGTGTGTGCGGTTTGGCAAGGATTTTCCGCCAGTGAAGTCCTGTCCAGAGTCTAGACTTGGTCAGCTAAGCCAGCGATGTTGTCATAGTAGCTAGGGCGGGGAGAATGGAGAATGCTGATGAAGTTGATGAGGGTTAGAATGAGCAAAAGTGAAAGATGGCCATGACTTGGATGGGATGAGATGTGTGTATTTAGGGAAAGTTGAATTAATAACACACAGTCCTGAAGGGTAAGAGCTGGATGTGTGTTTCCTTTATGTTAAGTCCTGTAATAGATTTGTATTTTCCCCGTTTCCATTTGTCAGTCAAAGAACTTCAAACCATAGAAAATGAAATTTATAACCGGCGTTGTAATATCTGTCAACGTCTAGCAAGGTTTCATGTGGTTTTAAGCTTTGCTAGAGTACTAACCTATTTTGACTCAAACCATTCAGAAAGCTTTTTACACGCATTCGTCACTACGGTAAATTTCCAATGTAAATAAGTTTTATCAAACCTGCAAGCCTGTAAAATATATTTAAATTTATTCCCACCATTAAAAATTGTCATTGAAATATTTTAGAAAATTGTGTACATCTTTATTATTTTTTAACTACTTTTTTGTTGAATGTATTTCTTGTTTTGTGGTTGATGCTATGCTTCATTGATATTTCGCACTGGAATTTTGTTATTTTCAGCCTAGAAAACGCATGGCAACATAGGCGAAAACGATTCGAGGCGTCTTTGTTCTAAACATTAACTAATAAAATGCATAAATCTGTTAACAATTTGTGTGTTCCATCTGCGTGTGTGTGTGTGTGTGCTTACATAAGTAATTCGCTATGATTAATGCTTATCTGATTGTTATTGTTATTTATGCGATTTAGCTATAGCACTTCGTTATAGGAGTTAAAGCCAAGAACCGAGTAACGGCAACATAGTTCTGATTTCAACGCACTTTCTCTCTATATAATATATAGTATCTACTATATCTGTGTATCGTATGAATGCTCGTGAGTGTATATATAAATTCCATTTGTCGACATTTGCACAACAGTTAAAAGTATATTAAACAATTAATAATAATAATAATAATAATAGTAATGAATTTTAGCTATGGCCGGGCCCAAATACGATTTGCACTATAATTTTTGTGTGTTTATTAACTTTGATGTACTTTGTGTGTGTGTGTGTGTATGTGTGTGAGATATCCCTAGCAGTATGCAGTAATTTCCTAAGTACTGTAATTAGTTTTTAGTTTTGTTTACTTTCTTCGGTTTTATTCTGTAATATTATGTTTGTATTTTGAGTCCAGCTACAAAACGTCGCATAAAGTTGTATAAAAGTTTTGGTATTTCCATTGTTTCCATTTGACTAGCGAGTAAATACAAAAACCCAATCGATTCGCAGGCGACAGTTCAACCTACACACATCGTATATATATACATATATATATATATCGGCGTGTATATATATATATAAATAACACTATATAGTATTGTTAGAAACGGCTGCTATAAAATCACTGCCACTGTAATGGCCATTACTTGTCCCCCATAAGACTAACGTAATCGTCGTTAACTCTATGTATAAGTAATTCATAAGCGCTAATATTCGTTTAATGCAACAAGTCTATGTGGGATCGTCATCTCATCCTCCGTCGTCTCTATGGAGATTCCTGCCACCTCCATTATTGCCGCCTTCGGATCGTTCTCCCTCATCCTCGTCCTCTTCCTCATCATCATCCTCCTCGTCTTCGTCGTCGTCCTCCTCCTCCTCCCCATCTGACTGCTCGGATCAGTCGAATATGCAGACAAAGACGCGCAGACAATTCATTCCCACCTTCTCCCAGCATCCCTCCTCCGTGGGTCGTCCTTCGTGCGCCAGTCGCATCTTCTTGGGATAGTTTTTGGGACTGCTCCTGTCGCTCAGGTGCACGGGCATTCGCGCGTACTCCGCGCGAGGCTGGCGGAACTTCTCCATTAGCTCCGCCTGCTGATCGGTGAGGTTCTTTAGCTTTTTGCCTGGAATTGAACAAATATTTATACTTAAAGCTCACAGCTAAGAGAAAGACTCTCAATCTTTGGTTGAGTGATTCATAAAGTTTGAATGTAAATGATTTCTGAAAAAAAACCTTAAAGCTTATCGCAAGTCTAACTTTTTACAACATTATGAATAAGTAATAAGAAAACAAATGACAGTAGTAAATATATTATGACTCATATTAAAGATTGAATAATCTTATTAAATCGTTAATTGTTAATTGTTACTAGAATGAAAACAAATCATATCTGTTTCTACTCTCATATAAGAATAAAGATAAGATCATAGATCGTAAACGCAATTCTCTCACGCTGTCGTGATAAACTACATCTGCTTGTACAGTTCACTGAACTCCCATAGATAGGACCAAAATACTTATCAAATAAAGATAAAGTTTACTCACCCTCGAGGGCATCGCTGATGAGTGATATCTCAGTGGGTGGCAGTAGCTCCAGGCGTTCGCAGCAGCGTCGGAATTCGCTGGCGGTCATTCGCAAATAACGAGGTGTGAGGCATAGAGGTCCCAAGACAGTACGCCGGTTCTCCGGCGTGGCATCAATATGTTTACGGGCACACTCCGCCAGACTCCACGTGGCCAGGCATTCGAACAGCGTTACCTCCGATCTCAGCTGCAAGGTGTCTCTCTTCACCAAGGTCTCCAGCTCCTCAAAACGCAGATCACTGATCTCAGCCATAGAAAGCTGCAGTTCTGCATGCATATCGATCAGCTGGAGTGTGTTGTGCAGCAGAGCCACGCCATAGTCTTCGGTGGTAAAGGGATTCGGATTTGGAATGAGGTTGACCTGGGCTCCATCGCCATCGGCTCCGTTTTCGGTAGATTGGGATGCCTTGGCAGCCGCCAACTGCTTGGCCGCCGCCTTCGCCTTGGTTGCCTTCTTTCTGGCCAGCTGCTGACCCGTCTCCTGGGTGGTGATCACTGTCTGGTGCTGGTTGGTCAGGGCAATGCCCTGGTAGAACCATAGCGCCTTGAAGATGTCCAAAGCGGTGGCACACGAGATTCTGAGATCAAGTTCGCGAATACAGTAGATGATCTGGAAATTATGATTATTAATTAATCTTTGGTTTATTATATATTAATATATATATACTCACCAGATCTGGAACGTTGAAGCGATCGGATAGCTCGAGTATCTTGAGAAGGTGCTTGTGATCGCGATAGGGGATGAAGTGCTTCTCCATGTAGCGAACGATCAGCTCGAAGTCGTTCTTGTCCACATTGAGTATCTGGAAGTGGTTATCGCTCTTACGTCCACTATTTGGACCGGCATGTATAAGCTTGGCCAGCTCCACGCTCCGTTCGAGCACCGATTTCCGTTCGCAACGGATCATGTAACGATCATCACCGTTGACCACGATGAAGTCTATGTAGGGATTCACTATGATTGGAACGCCTGTGTAGATGTTGGTTTGACCACGGGAATAGGCTGGTGGTATCATGTGGGCAGGTGGGGCACTGGGCGCCGGAGCACTCTGTATGGCATCCACGTGGTGGCCATCTGGGCCAAGTCCGAACGGTAGCACCATTCTGTTTGGCTCCCTATCGTCGTTGTTGTTTTTGGGATCTGTGATATCTTTCTCCTTCTCCCGACGCCGCAGTGCCTTGTGAACAAGGGCTCCCACTAGCGGGAACTTGGTGATACGCTTTTCCTTGACCAGATGCTCCTCCAAACGGCTTTCGATTCGTCTCTGGCGGTATTTGTTGCCGGGACGAGGCTCTAAGCTGTCCCTGTCGTTAAAGGCAGTGATTTTGTTGGAGAACTGAAAGTATTTAAAAAGAGTTTTGAGTTTAGCATATTTTTGAAATCTAAGAACTTCAAAAAGAATGAATCCAAAAATTCAATACAAACAGAATCCCAAATTTGGGATAGCTACTAGTTAATCCTACCTTCTAAATCAAATGTTTTAACTTGTTTCTTACTATTTGCTAGTTTATTACTAATTAAGACATCAGATTTAGGTACTAAGTACTACCCAACGCTTTCATTTCAAGTACCGAAGCTTAATGTGCCTTAAAATCAAAAAGAGCTTGAGGTATAGGGTGGAACTTCTAGTCTATCACTAGTTTTCCGAGGGAAATACATTTTTTATCTGCTCCAAATAGGTGGATACAATTTACGACCCTTGCGAATGGCCAGTTAGTCATGCTGGACGGTCTCCGATTTCGCCACGGTGGGAAATCTGTAGTATTGGTGTTTTAATGGTCGTTGTAAGTACTTTCCCACCTGACTGATTGATTCATTGGCCCGCTTATCAGTCAATTGGCACACTTCAAAGCATAAATCGTTTTGGTGTCTAAACAGCCTTTAATCGCTGATTTTTGTACTTGACAATAAATTAGGCTCACTATCTGAAAGTAAATGCCGACTAATTAGCCAACCAGCGGAGGCCCAAACCCTTTTTTTTGGCGACTTTTTCAGTTAGCCATATGTTCTAATCGTTTGATTGCCTCGAACTCGGCTGCAATCCATCATACTATGGCCATAAATCATGTCCCATATCGAAAACGGTTGCACTGCTACCAAATCGACAGCCAAATTTCGCGCGTGATGTTATAATTCCCCCCGAAAAATACCAACCAATGATAGGAGTAGTTACTTAGTACAAAACGTGGTGATTAAGTTATAAGTACGCGTAAGTACAGGCAGCACAGTACAGTACTTAATCAAAATTGACAAATACCTAATGGTTACTTAGGCGAATTGAAATCCGTTTATTTCATTTACTTAAGCCTTTAAAGTCAGTATATTCAAATTTGAATGGTAGTTAAGGGGGTGGAAGAAATATGTCTTTTGGGCATGAATACTAAATTAGCTTTAAAGTGTTTGTAAAGGTTTTCGGGTATTAACTTTAAATCGATTCCTTAGACTTTAAGTATTGAATATGAAATCGAAGGTATGGAACTTCATTTATATTGCCTTTTGAAGTTCATAGAAAACTTTCACGTTTATGTAGTTGTATAATGTTCCTCTAGATTAGGTCACATGAACCTTAAATAAGGAAGCAGTTAGGAGCTTGGGAGCGATAAGATTGTTACGACGATATGCCGCTGTTATGGCCAATATATAGTAGATAACATAGTTTTTCAAAGCTTTAAAGGAGGCTTTCCAGGAGTAAAAACAATAAGCATGAAATTTTAGATTAACTTTTCACATCCCTTTAGGAAGAAAGCTATTCCTGGAAATATAGTACATATTTTCCATTAGATATTATAAAAATCTTTAAGAAGCCTACCGCTTGCTTGAAAATGATATCACATAAGATTAAATAAACATTCCATTCCTTAAGTCTGTTTGCTATATTATTTCTAATTTCTTTCATTCACGAACTCCACAAAGAAATTCATTTTCTTCAAAGGTAAACACTCGTATCTAAGCGTATTTCAAGGAAAGACATTCTGAACTGAAATCTTTGTTCATTTGGAAAGTTTGATTTATAGTTCCTGTTCTTGTTATTGCCTTAAGTACAATGCAAACAAAATTAATTGTGGCACAAAAAGATTGCGGGCAAATTTGCGGAGCAGAGCTAAAATAGCATAAAAAAAACAGAGTTCGAGGGGAAATATTAATAAAAACAAAAAAAATGAAATTATATGGCGATATTTGAACAGTTGTAAGGAAGAGGGAATCGGTCTTGAAGTGTTGACGACCGACCGAGCTACAAGTATAGTTCCCTGCTTTCTAGACTTGATATTTAAATGTTTACCCAAGGAACCGCAGAGGGGGGCGGGGAACTGTGTCGACTTGTGATAGTCTGATAGTGCAATAAATAAATTATCGTATGCAAATAAATTTATGGCTGTCATGAGGCGTTTATCATCTGCAGAGCAGTCACAGCGAAAGATGGCTTTTATGTACAGCACAGGCTTCGAATTAGCACTTGGGCTTCGTAAGTTGAATGTCTTTTGTTTATCAGCCCTGCTCTATATATGATATTGTTAAGAGGGTGTAGGTGGCGGTAGGGTAGGGTAGGGTGTCTTCAAATCAAATTTGAGACCCAGACCTTGTTCGTTCTTCGTTCTTGAACTTTACAACACACATGTCATTCGATTTCACTATCGCAAATAATCATTTATATCGTGCACTTCTTACATTTTATTATTACTTTTTTTTTTGGCTTTTGCTTATCAACAGACGACCCGTTCCATCAATCAATCGAAAGCGATTTACTTTGGCTTGCCACTGTCTGCGCGATATGTCGGCAAAATGTCTGTCCAGGAACCTTTTGATTTATACTTTTTGGCTATCAAATGTTGTAATAATTTCTAATATTGTAAATCACACACACTAATTGACTGGGCCAGTTTTTCGGGGCAGTGAGTTCCGTATTTTTGCTCGATTTCGAACCGAACGCCTCGAGTTTGAAATAGCGACTGCTATTCAATCCCATTGGCAAACTGCGACGTCGACCGAGGGGCAGCGATGTAGGCAGAAAACACTGGGGTTGTTCGGCAAAATGCGTCATGATGATCGTCGAGCAGTAAGAAATGCAACAATTCGTGGCTACAACATAAGAAATGCGTCGTCTTTAAATGTTCAAGAAAGGTATGAATTTACTTTTGAAGCAACAACGCAGGTTTTAGTTTGAATGATTTTTATGTTTTTATCAATTTATTAAAAAGTTTTGATCAGGAGGAGAATTTTGATAAGGCTAAGAGAAAGTAAATTATGTTTAATCATAAGATGGTCACAGTCTTTTATTACTACGTGTAAGCATGTAAAACATTCTTGAAGTATTATTCCGATTACCAATATCAAATTTCCAAAAACAACTTTAAAAACCTCATTCTTTGTGTCTCTCAAATATGAGTAAACATTTTTTCTTAAAAGATATAAGCTTGTTTGTTTAATAAAATGTCACAAAAAAAAAACCAAGCTGATTGTTCCACAAAAAATTAGAATTCTGAATATGAATCAGCATTAAATATATATTTAAGCTGCCCCATAAAAGTTAAGCCTGCCCGCATTTCCACACTACTTTGAAGTTGCAAAAACCCGAGGGAAACTGCCCAAATGCAGGTCGAGCGGAAATGAGCTCAAGCTCTTCGCTGGACAGCCTCAGGAATCATTCATAACTCGAATTATCAACTCAATTCGGTGGACAAAATATCAAGCAAATAAATCAATTTGTGTGCCCAAAGAGGCAAACATCAGAGTTAAAGGGAGCACCAACAGCCGGAGAAGAAGATTTCACTGTTGGATGAACCAATTAGCACGGCGATTGTGAGTGGGTGGAGAGTTCGATTTATTTTGAGTGGGTGGGGAGTGGTTGTGGGAGGCGTAGGTGGTGTGGGAGTGTCATATTTGACAACTGTAATTGTCGCAGGCGCTTTGTGTACGCACGAAATTCGCCTTATTGATAAGCAATGCAAATAGCACACTGAGAATAAAAAGTACATGCCCACATCCGAGCGAGGGCGTAATAATAGCAACAAAGAGCAGTTCTCCAAGGGCTGGGAGAAAAGCAGAATAGTTATTATCAGCGGCCAAGGCCAGGACAAAGCTGCAAAGCTGCTCGAGTTTGTTGTGTGTGCACAAGTACTTATGCAGCCAGCGAGGGCTGCCACAGAAGTTGGGGAAGCCAGCTGAACAGGCACAGCACAGCGATTAGATAAAAACGCTTGTTATGGTATTTATAACTATTTTTATCGAATTTGTATTTAAGAACCTTAAGAACTTTATGAGACTTACTGCTTGTAGATAATTTATTACCAGTGCAGTTAATAGTTTAACAACTTGAAAAACTAGGTCCAACTACTTTTCAACCTCCCCCCGCATAGTCACAGGCCACTTTAATGTTTACATATGTATTCTGTATGTGTGGCTGCTGGAGCAGCAAAGACTGCTAATGAGTCCCCATGTAAAGCGGAAGCTCCAGATGAGAAAAAACAGTTAACACTCGAAGTTCGCCTCACGAACGGCCTTGACATTGCTGTTGCTTGGGCGGCTATGACACAACAGGGCCCACTGTACACGCATTTCCCCAAGATCAACATAATAATCGGATCGCTAAAAACCCGTTTATGATCGCCGACCCGAATCAAATATTTGCATTCATAAGGGGGAAATTTAATTAGCAGCATCAACAAAGTGGAGCAGAATCGATATTTACCCCAAAAAGCAGGCGGGTGGGAAAAGTGTTTAATTAGTTGAATTCGAACATAATTACTCACATTGTTGGCTGCCGGTAAACAGCACGGAATATGCGTTGTTCAAAACAAATAATCGAACAAATGAAACTGCAAATAAACAACGAAATGGATTCCATGGGAAAGAAATAGCAGCCATGGAGTGGAAATCGAACTTAACCCATCTTATTCTAATTCCATTCGCTTCCTGATCCGCTGCCAACTCTAAATTCCACCTGCAATCGCCGCAATGTTCAAAAATAAAACACTTGCCACATTCTTCGGCGGACCAGGAAAAGTTCACAGCCAGTGCGATGGCTTCTCTATTTATATGCTCCTAATGAGGTGGTTCATTAAAATTAGCCCATAAACAGAGAGCCAAAGTGTAAGTACTGCAAGATTATGAAACAATCAAAGAAGCGGAATCGAAATATATATGTAAGAAAGTACTGAGGAGTAAATATCACGCGATCAACTTCACATTATAGGTTTAATATCAGATACCTTAGGCCTTATCACAAACCTTATCTATTCCTAGAAATAATCAAGTTACCATTTATTGTAACGATTTATCTACAAGACATGAGCAATCTTAGACTGTAACAAATCCGATTTGGATCTTGAACTTCCCACTTGAAGCCCCTAAGCTGCAAGTCCAGATGCGTAATTCAATTTGCCACGGGCCTGTGGCACTTTGGCACCTCCAATCCGTGACTCCGACTGACTCATAAATAGTAGGGTCTTTGTTCTGTGGGTGGACGATGTGGTAGAGCGCTCTATACTATAAGTTAAAGAGGCTATAGACACCGCTAGACAGGACAGCATTTCGCAACGGCAAATGACATCATTTGATTTGATTGCTGGCACACCGAATACCGTGAGACAACACACAAATACAAAGGAATGTTATTTTGTGTTGGTGCGGGAAAACTGCATTACTCATCCATCCCCTGCGAAGATCCAGCAACGAAATATATGACTCGGCCAGTCAAAATGACGGCCCAAATTGTTTTCTGGCCTTTTGGCAATATGCCAAGCAAATCAATACATTTCGAAGAATAAATATTCAATGAAGGGGAAGGTGGCGAGCATCCTCCTAACAATTACCAACACATGAAATTCATTCAATAAATTCTTTAGCTCAAACTGTGTACATTCTGCATCTGATTAAGAACAAATATATTTTTTATAAAACGGGGACTCACAGCTAAAAAAGTTTTCTCTCACTTATAGAAGATACAAAATATTTACAAAATATAATTAAAACTAGGCACGTAGGTAACATAACACGTAGAATAAAAGTTGAATTCAAATTCTCTGAGCTGCCATAGGAAATCAAATTTTTGTGAACTCAAAACTGGGTTTTCCCCACTAGGCAGGAGAACCTGATGTGAACAAAAGCGACGCCTCCCGAAATGCAAACAAAACATGAAAAAGGAAAAAAGCGAAAAAGGCGAAAAACTCACCCTCGACACGCAGGAAAATCGCTGGAGGTGGGGGCTGGCAGAGGAAAAACCCTACGCAACATGTTCCATGTTCGGCGGGGAAAACAGAAAAGGGCGGGGTGGTGGGTGTTCTGAAGCTGAATGAAAGTGGAGCAGTAGCGAAGGGCAGAACGGCAAACAGTTGGAAACAAATTTGCAATTGCTGACAAAAAAGAAAGAGGAGACCTTTGCTAAATTCATGGGGTTTGGCATAGGCCAATAGCCAATATCAAGAACGCGATTCTGGGATTCGGAAAAGGTAGTGGGCGGTGATTGGGGTCGCTGGGGCAACCAGTTGGTGCCAAGGGCGAAGCTGGGAAATGGACGTGAGTGCTCGTAACAATTGACAATGCGGCGTATGCGCGATGGATGCCCAGCTGATGATACAATGAAACACTGACACAGTGAACGACTTTCCCACTCAACCACACACACACACACACACATATTTACACCCGCACATATACAGTCGGAAAAACTTTCCTTTGAACAGGCTTTCATTTGCCAGTGTCTGTGTATTTTATGGATACACAATTTATGTTGGCCAATTGCTCGCCTCTGTTTTGTATACATCATTTCTTGTCTTTTGATTAATTACACATCATGGTGCCCATAGACTTACCCTAGTTTATAAAATTTTGTAGAATGACCAACTCTTGAGTTTAGAAATTTATTTGCCAATCCTCAGTTGTTGTAAACTTCCGCCCCGCAGGTTGCAAACAAAAACTTGAATGCAATTTCTGTTTACGCCAATTTGTTTATGCCAATTTGAGGCCGCTTTTCAGCCATGAATATACAGATATTTTGGCTATATAGCACCGATTCGCGTATATCTTTCCGATCCGAACCGATCCGATCCGAGAGTTTTGCGCGCCTCGTGCCAAACGGAATTGGGAAAGGCAGCCAACAACACGACAACGTCTCCGCTCGAGAGCCGAAAAGCGTATATACAACAAATTTTGTACGAAGAGCGCCAAGCCAAAAATATGAAAAGGAACAAAAAAAAAAACAAACGAGACAGCAGGAAAACATACCAAATTTCCCGGGCTGGCGTTGCCACCGTATCGATGATCCATCTCCAAAATATGGGTTCCATATAATAGTAAAGGTTCTTTCCAGAGTTTTCCAATTTCCACTATCACTTGTGTGATTTCAGTTGGAATCCGAAATATATGACCTAAATAAAATATAATATTTTGAAGTATTTCCCAGTTGATGGCTAAGCACCAGCCGTCTGGCAACTTTCTAGGGGGAAATTCTCAGTAGCTTTTCCTCAGCCGGACATGCGCATAATGCCTGGGAGCTCGACCCACAGGTCGTATGAGCATTTGTAAAGACACAATATTTTCGAGAGTGTGATAAGACAGATACGGGACTTTCCCTTTCCGAAGTAAGAGAGAGAGAGAGGAATAGGAAAAGCCAGGGAGAGCGAGAGTGCGTGGGATTTTAGGGAGGCCCATTTTCTGGTTCGGGCCCTAGACAACGGAGCACTATATTGAGGGAGGTAGGAAATTTATAGCCGTTATCAACACTCTCGCCTGGCCAGCCCGAACAACCAGCAACAACAAATATCGGGCAATGCAAACTAAACGAAACTAGGTCAAATCCCAACCAGCCCGTTTGGAATGCTCCGACCGGAAAATGTATTGGCCGAATTGGAGAATTTGTTATAATTCCTTTCAGGCACGAAAAGTATTTAAGGTTCTATAAGCGATGCTTAGGTTTGACCATTTCAGGTGTTCGAAAATGATACATAGATTGATTGATTTGTATGAAATTAAGACTGAATTAATTTATAAACCTTATTTTAAGTCAAAGGCCGTCCTACTGATTGCCAAAATGTATAGATACAAAACGTATAAATTTGCAATAAGCATAGGAAATATCCATAGAAATCCAAACCAAATCTTTTGTGAAAAAATAAATGTACATTTTATTTGTTTTTGAAGACTTTTTTCGATTTGAAAATTTTCCATTGATACATCTTTGTATGTAGTGCATTTTCGAGGTGTGAGGTGAAACAAATGTTGGTCATGTCTTGGGGATGATACGGCAAATTTGATTCTGCTTTAAGTTTCCGACTGGCCCCCCTTGGGTTTATTACCTAGGGGCACATGGATATAGATTAAGGTGAATAACAGGAGATGTATTCTCATTTGTTTTCTAACTTCCGATAGGCACACTAATCTGTTCAGTTCCGTTAAGCCGCTTAATGGCTATCTTGGCCACACCATTAGTGCACTCCGAGGATCCGCCCATTAGCACTAGGAAAAGGCCATTGTGTGCCACCGAATTCCACAGGCGATCGATGGTTTTGTCCAGTTTGGCAACACTCCGTTCTGCACTCTCCAACACAAAGTCCTGCTCTGCAACTTGAAGATTCGCAATTGTCAGGGCATTTTCCAAGGCAATTTCATTGACCTTGCGAACGGCTTCTTTTGAGGAGGAGACCTCGTGCACCCGCACTGCCAAGCTGTGATCCTTGGGAGCTGCCTCTCCTGCCTTTTCTATGATATCCTTAAGATGGGGCTGCAGATCGCCAACCGTGACGATGGCCGTTCGCTTGTCCCTTTTGGCTGCATGGGCAAATAGGTTATTGCTGATATTGTCACCGCTGGAGGCGTTTGCCAACTCCTGCAATCGTTTTTGCTGCGTAAGAATCTCATCACCAAATTCGATGCTGTTAGCCAGCTTCATCTTGACAAGTTTTAGCGTAGCTCGCGAATCCTCTATGGAATCGTGACCTTCGTCATTTTCCTGGATAATTTCTTTCAGGAAGGTCATGGCCAGGTGCTTCAGTTTGCTCTTGCGCCGTCGCACTCCGGAAATGTTAAAGCAAACGCTGGTGTCAATCACATAGGGATGCATCATTTGCATGGCGTTAAGATCGGAGTTCAAGGACTGCCCCACTAGAATAGCATCCGGCGGCAGCAGTTCCGAAACCTCATCCTGCACATCCTTCAGTGTCTTGGTCACCTTTTTCATGATTTCTTCAGTGATGCCAGAGTACTGGGTTAGATAATCGGTGATCCGGTTTCTAGGCATCACCAGCGTTTCGTACACTGTCTGGTACCTTTCGTTGACTATCGAAATTCGGGTCAATTCGTTAACACCGGCTTCTGTTTGACACATTTCACAATCCACGCCGTACATAGGACTACGATTGGTCACCGGAGCATACGAGTCCTTGGTGAACCTGAACTTCTGGAAGCGACTGTGCAGCTCGCCTTGCAAAGGAATGGGATAGCCTTCATCGACCATTTGCAGGGCAGATAACAGGAGCTTGGTGCGGGGGAACTTATCATCCTTATGCAGGTCATCTGGCACTGTCGCTTTCCTTTCTATAGGGAAGATCGTCTTTACGAACAATGTGGGATCTTTGTTCAGCTCCACAGCTGACTCTAATGATCCGTGTTCGTCAATCAGCTTGCGAGCCTGCACATTTGTCAAAGGAATCTGTAAAATCCAAGGCTATATTAAAATTTACATATTACATTACAACTATCAAGAACCTTACCTTAGCTATCTCGTCTATGATCTGACCCTCGTTACGAGGCGGAAGAAGCATCTCCAGCTTGGTGTTGAATATTTTGTTGGTGGCCTCGAACTGGCTTTCATTAGACAGGTAATGGTATAGGGATAGGCCCTCTAGTATGACCACAACACTGTGCGACAAGTTAAGCCACTTCTCCACACTGCACCAACGATCCGGTCGGCAGGGACTTTTCTGGCCAATGAGGGCAGACATCAGCAGGTTTTGGATGTCGGTAAGGAAAAGGGGTGTGCGAGCATTTTGAGGCGTGGCGAGGGAGGCGCGTTGGCCCATCTCACGTAGTCTCAGAGCAGGAACATCCTCGATCTGGCGCTTGCGGCGCCTCAATTCCGCCGACAGCTGTTTATACTGCTGCTCGGAAAGGGAGCATATTTCCTGAGGCAGGCTATCACCACCAGCTTCGTGGTTGCGACTTTTTTTGGCCACCGGCTCATCTGTGTCGGTGTGTTCTATGGCAGACGTCTGAGGTTCTTCTACAGATTCCGCTTCTTGCTCGGGATTACTGCGGATTGTTAGGCGATTTCGGGCTTTCCGCTTGCTGCCCACTGTTATAAAACCATCATCCTCGTCCTTTGCCTTAGCCTTCGCTGGCGACTGTTCTTCAATCTCGGCCTCCATCGCATCCCGCTTTTTGGCCAACTCTGCCTCGTGCAATCGATCGCGATCGTTCAACTCCATCAGATTTGCCAACGCAGCCAGCTTCTTCTTTTTCTTCTCGTTGCGCTCGTGCTGTTTCGCTGACAGCTGTTCCTTCATCCTGGTGCGCTTACCGTTTAAGCTGCAGGCGAGAAATATTAGGATTTTGGTAAGTAATCTAAATTACTTTTCTTCCCGAATTGTCAACACGAAGATTTAACATGTGCACATAGAAAGTGTGACCGCGCAACAGTAATCAAACAATACCTATATCTCTATGCAAGCGAAATTTTGCTGGTTGCTATGAATCGTCTTTGGTACTGTAGAAATAAGCTACCAGCTACACATTTCATTTGGATGGCGCTTTAGCTACCATCGCATGCCAGTAAGAAAGGGATAGCCATAGTGTACACCAACCGTTAGGTTGCCGCGTGTTTTTGGAAAACTTGGAATTACCAAATTTTGCAAATTCAGAACGAAAATAAATATTTAAAAACTAAGTGATTATAAATAAGACAAAATGTACGCAGCAGTTAAACCGCTTTCCAAGTATCTGCAGTTCAAGTCGGTGCACATCTACGATGCCATTTTCACGCTTCACTCGAAAGTTACGGTGGCCTTGCTGTTGGCCTGCACTTTTTTGCTTTCCTCGAAACAATATTTCGGGGATCCTATACAGTGTTTAGGGAGCAAAGATATGGACTATGTGCACTCCTTTTGCTGGATTTATGGGGCCTTTGTTCATGTGAATGCAAGTACGGCGCCTTTGAAGAACGGCGCATCACAGTGCCAGCCAGGTAAGCTTTGGAGTCCTTTTAAAGGAAATCCTTTCTAAGGATTCATCATTTCAGATGCCAAGGGATCTACTTCCATGGATGAACGCCGCTATATCATTTACTATCAATGGGTAGTTCTGGTTTTGCTACTAGAGTCTTTCGTATTCTATATGCCAGCCTTTCTCTGGAAGATTTGGGAGGGCGGTCGCCTGAAGCACCTGTGTGACGACTTCCACAAGATAGCTGTTTGCAAGGACAAAAGCAGGACTCATCTTCGCGTGTTGGTCAACTATTTCTCCAGTGACTACAAGGAGACCCACTTTCGCTACTTTGCTAGCTACGTCTTCTGCGAGATTCTAAATTTGAGCATTAGTGTAAGTTAACCAACTATGACTACATTTCCTTCCTATTTTACTAACTATACTACCTCCTTAACCTCACAGATTCTGAACTTCCTCCTCTTGGACCTGTTTTTTGGCGGCTTCTGGGCTCGCTATCGGGATGCTTTGGTAGCTCTTTTTGAAAAGGATTTCTATGAGTGGAACCGCATCGCCATGCAGGTATTCCCAAAGTGCGCCAAGTGTGAAGTAAGCAGAGGCGGTCCTAGTGGTTCGCCCACCATAAGCGACCACCTTTGTCTGCTGCCTCTAAATGTATTGAACGAGAAGATCTTTGCCTTCCTCTGGGTGTGGTTTATTTTGGTGGCTGTCCTCGTATCCCTGAAGTTTGTGTACCGCCTTACCACTGTTTTTTACCCCGGAATGCGATTGCACCTGCTGCGGGCCAGAGCTCGTTTCATGCCCAAGTCGGACTTGCAGTTGGCCCTGCGAAACTGCAGCTTTGGAGATTGGTTCGTGCTAATGCGCGTGGGCAACAACATCAGCCCTGAGCTATTCCGCAAGCTGCTAGAAGAACTGTACGAAGTAAAGTCGATGGGCAAGAAAAATCCGCCAGGAGCGGATGAAATCTAAAAGCTCAACTTTGACACTTGCCTTAATCTGAACTTACTGATGTAAGTTTTCTTTTTTCTTTTCTAAATCATAACTCTGGTAAAAGACTAGGATGACACGACAAGTGTTACACATTTTTTGATTTTCATTTTCATATTACTCCTAATCGATATGTACATATTATCGAACACATTGTTAACTAAACGTGAAGCTAAGCGAAATATAGCAATCTCAGTTGATTACTACGTACTCATGTATATATCATTTCTCATAAACTCTAATGGAATTTTATGTTTTGCGAATATATATATTACTTTCATGTTATAACATTAAAGATTAACGGCTTAACAATAATCTATAATTTACATGAAGTCTAATAATTCTAGTTTTTGATTAAACTCTATGGTTGCTAACATTTTAAGGATATAAGGTATTAAGATAACCTAAGAGATGCGATTATAAGTCATACCTTTGCGATCTAGCAATGCTGCGCAGGGCAAGTCTCGTTCGGGTCCACATCATATTGGTTATCTTGTGTTGAAGGACAGTAAATATAGGACCGCCTTGCACATACCGTAGTAAGATCGGTGGCTTAGCAAACTGGTCAATCCTTTACTGTCCGTTATTTCCTCTAATGGAGGGTTAGATCGACAGGGCAAAAACGTTCTTTGCTTGCGCATCAATTTTTATTGACTGAGTTCTTTGAAAAGACATGGTTAGACTCTCGATTCCTGCTTTTTTTCTCACCGCAGCTACTTACATTATGTCTTATAGTAAAATTTTGATAAAAGATTTTTTCACAATTTTCTAATGATTATGCATGTGTTTTTTTTTGTTTTAATACCGTTTATGATTTTTTTTTAGAATAATTTTTTCGGTGATTGACGTTAATGGTCAAATCCTTTTTTTGTGGAACCTTAAAGTCTCGAAGAAAAATATTTTTATTTTGAGTGCGTTGTACGAAATTTGTATAAAACTGATTTGGAAACATCTGAGTGACAATTAAGAACTAACACTGGGCCTGCTTAGCTCTGACATTACATTTTTCAAGTAGGCTGTATGGGTGGGTGGATGGTTCGTTGCTCTGCCAAGAATTCTCCTTCAACTTGCACTTTTCGACGGTCATTTCAGCTGACCTCCGCAGTTGCCGGGCCATTTTTCATTAACCAAAAAACCTTAAAGTATGAAACGTAGCAGAAAAGTGCAGCAGTGGCTAGTGGAAGTGGGTCGTTTGCCCGCTGATCCACTTTCCAGAAGCCCTTATAAGCGGCGCATTCAATCACCGTCGGCTTCAGTTGCCGTTTGCCGGGCGGATCGCGCGGAAGTTCATCGTTATCGTCGTCGTCGTCGTAGTCGTGGTTATTACCGTTCTGGATTATCTTGGATATCAAATTCGGCTATTACAAGTGCTTTTTGTCGATTTTTGTTTTGGTGAATCGCTGTAACCCGAGTCTCCTTGTTGGCCAGCCAATTTAACAAAGTGCTAAACATATAAATAAAACCCCAAGAACGGGAGAACCTATTCTTCAAAGAGTGTAAAAGTTAATGTGTTAGCTCATTTAAAAAATGTTGAGTGCTTAAGTTATAAATCCAGAAAGAAAAGTTCATTTTTGTGCATAATGAATTACAACATGGATGGTATGTGTTCGGCAATCAAATATAGGAAAATATTAACCTTTAATAATGTTATGAAACTATCATTTTTTGTTTTTGTGAAGTTGAAATTTATTAATATAATAGATAAGCAACGTGAATATATGAACTGTAATAAATAAAAATTTAAATAATTAAATGTTAAAGGATAAAAAACAAAATAATAGTATTAATTAATTAAAAAAGTAATTTTCAACTTCATTTCCGTACTCGTTGGCATACATCATTATTTTTTTGTCTACTCAAATGTAATTTTCACCCACGTATCTTAACAATTTAAGCAAGAAAGTGAATTCCATAAAATGGTTGAAAGTTCCAATTTATTTTGGACTGTGATCAGCACTTTTATAAAAATTATTGCGAAACTGCTGAGGAGGCCAGAAAGTGCTGACCAAAATAAAAAAATATTATAAAAGTATGTAAACTAAAAACGTACATGAACTGGTATAGGACAAAAATATGTTAACAATGGGTGATGAATAATTAACTTAATAAGCAAAAAGTAATATTTATAAGAGAATAATTTAAACTGGAATTCCTTAGAGCTGGAGGCCACCAGGTTGCTGCGACATCCTCGACGTTGGTGGAGCATTGGCTTCAGCAAACGAATCTTAGCCATATCAGTTCTGGTTATCATAATATTGCTGTTTTCCCTGATATATCATGGCCTTGTAGTGGAGAGAATTGGTAAGTTTAAAAGTTAAGAAATTATTTAATGGATATAAACCTTAATTACTACTTACAGATCGGGTTCAGCAGATTGAAGCATTGAATGCCAGGCACCAAAAGCTATTCAATCAGCCCTTTGAAGAGGATCAGTCTGCTCTGATTATGAGCCCTCAAACTTTGCATTTCAAACTGCTAGATGAAGATACAAATAAGGATTTGGATGATAGTAAGACTTTAAGAAGAAAGCACCTGAAACGAATGTTGGTAAAGTTCCGATTGAACAAGAAGCATCGCACGCGTCGTGGGTTGCCCCGCTTAGATTTGTTGGATCCTGTTCGGATGGAGGCCAACCTTCAGCAAATATATTCCAATCTGAGGAGTAAACGGGCGAGAGAAGCTCTGAGCCAACTGGAACATGAGTTTGTGAGATGCAAGAAGCAAACCCCTCATGATTGCATGTCCGCTTTCTTGCGTATGTACAAAATGGCCAGGGAGGTGACTGAGAAAATGGAGAAGATGAAAGCCATCATGCGGGAGCAGCAGCCGAAATTGGAGTCAATGAGCCTAGAGTCCTATGAAGGGAGAGGAACATTTTCCCCGGCAGATCTTATCCAGGAGACAACTGAAGCGACAACTGCGCCAGCAGAAAGTGCCACTGAAAAGCCACCGAGAACCAAGATCAATCCTTCCAGGATAAGTTGGATTATTGATGGCCATGATCACGATGAGAGCCCAGTTTACACAGATCATGCTCCTAAGAATGATCAAACAAAGGGGTTGGGGAACACCACTGAATTGGTGGAGAATATAGTGACGAAAGTATCGGAAAGCACTACTGTAAGGTTAAGTACCGAGAGCACCACAGAGAAGATCAGTTGGATTCTGGATCACTTCGACCATCCTCAGGAGATTTTGCGCACAACTGAGGGACCAGGGCAGCGAGCCAGTAGAAATGCAACCACCCCATCGGAATCAACTATAAAAATGGATCCTGTGCTGGATACGAAAACCACAAATAGTGAATTCGTCGTAACCACTGAAAGTGGTGTGATTTTAAATATAACTACAGATGCTCCAATCGAAGCTAGCAACACCACCGTTCAGCGAAAACTTTCCTTTGATTGGATTATCGATGGTGAAGATGATGGGGAGCCGGAAGTTAAGATCAACAACACCACGACAACCACTGCAACAGTTGGTACTACCGAACCTGTCATATCCACTACAGATCTGCCAAAAATCACATTCGAATGGATTATTGATGGTAGAGAAGTTGTAGAACCAAAGGGTGATTTAAAGACCACCTTGCCACCGGATACCACAACAGAAGCCGCGGGAACTACAACAGGACAGCGAAAGATGCCGTTTGATTGGATTATCGACGGGGAAGAAGTAGTGGAGCCTCAGGAGAACTTCACAACAACTACCACAATTGCCACAACACTAGCCATTAGCACAACAGAATCTGACGACAGAATAAATAACTTTACTGCTCATCCCACCAAGCCTAAAGCGGTAAAGTTTGACTGGATAATCGATGGCGGGGAACCCAGCGTTGAGGTGAGCACCACCACATCAAGAGAACCCAAATTGACTACTAGGCAGGCAGACAGCAATACGGAATCCCATCCGTTGGACAATCCCAGCAGCATCGAAAACATGCTGGAGAGCTTTGAGCGACATGAAGAGGAGAAGCCTGTCCTCAGGGTGCTAGGTGGGAATGAGTCCCCGTCGGAAAATGTAACAGATGTCTACGAACGTCAGTTTTGGTTGAAGAAGTTTGAAGATCAGGCTAAGCAAAATCAAAACGAGCTGATAGATACTTTTGGAACGGCTTTGGATGCCAAGGCCCTGGACAAAATGGGACCCAAGATCAACCCGCTCAATGGCCACCTCTGGAATGGTGAGAGTAATTTCAGTTTATCGAGTACGTAATTTGTAATGATTTGTTTTCCAGCTGCCGATGCCCAGATCCTTAGCCTGTGTGAACGAGTGGCGCTGAAGATGCGCAATAAGGTTTCCCCAATAGCAGATGGTGAGACCAAGGAGAAGGGAGAAACCTTCACAGCTTCACCTAGTGTCCAGTTCACTAGCCGAGCGCCAGGCGGGTTTCCCGTTTCCGGCGAAACCATGAAAGCCTCGGCCCAGTTTATGTTTAATCCAAACTTTGGTATGCCCAGCATTCCCGTCTGTTTCTACATGACGCCTGCCAACTTCCGCATGCCCATGTGGTCGAATACGCCTACATTTATGGGCATGCAGGGAGCACACTTCGGGGGATCGTCGAATCCAGGTGGAGGAATATTTTTTGTGCCCCAGCAATTTGGACCGAGTGGAAACTTTTTCGGAGGGAGTGGCGGATCCGGGGCCGGTGGTCAGAGTGCCAATATCTTCTCAAAGAATGCCTCCCCACAAAAATCACCAAATGGTCAGCAGCAGCAGGTCTACTGTAGTTACATGCAAAATCAATCTGGTCAAGGATCAGGACAATCACAGACTTCCAGTCAACAACAGCAGGGAGGGCAGACAAGCTTCTCCAACGCCAATTTTAAGATGAGGCATGCCAATCAGTCGGGCTCTGCCCTTCAGCAAGGGCAGATTATCTATGCCAGCTATGTAGGATTGCCACAGCCATCGATCCAGGAGCGTTCCAGGTGCCCTGAGCCTGATCAGTTGTCCTGTTTGGATCAACGAAAGTGCATTCCAGCCTTGAGATGGTGCGACAATGTAGTGGATTGTTCGGATGGCAGTGATGAGTCTGCCTGCACCTGCGCTGATCGCGTGGATGAAGATCGTTTGTGCGATGGCTATGCAGATTGCCCTATGGGTGAGGATGAACTGGGCTGCTTTGGCTGCGAACCTCTGGCTTACTCCTGCTATGAAAATCTGGAGGAGTTTGGCAGACACAATCGCTCAACGATATCCATGTGCTACAATCGTCTGGAGCGATGCGATGGATTTATGAACTGCCTAAACGGACGTGATGAGGAGCAGTGCAGTATGTTGGTCACTAATGTAGCGGATCATATGGTTTGTTGACGGATATACCTTAAAGGGATATTTATAATATTCCTTAAAATCTTTTACAGTCCCATGCTGCTTCTGCTTCTGAGGGCTATCTGTACCACAACTATCGTGGAGATTGGCATCCTGTCTGCAACAATGGTGAAAAGTGGGCAGCTTCAGCATGCGGTGTAGATGGCAAGGGTGTCCGGGATTTACCAGCTTCGTTAAATATCAGCTTCCGGGCCCTGACCTTACCTGGTCCTTTTATTGAGCCCTCTCTGAATTCCGGAATCCACTTTGCTCAGGGCTGTCATGGACGCAATAGTCATGACTCCCTGGTGGATCACGTAGCCTTCGTCAAGTGTCCACCGATGCAGTGTGGTGTGCCTACGAAATCCTTGATAACGGAGCACTCGAAGAAAGTTAAAAGAGCTCTAGAAGAATCTAAGGAAATCGTTGGCGATGGACGGATTGTGGGTGGAAGTTACACGAGTCCCCTCCAGTGGCCATTTGTGGTGGCCATTTATAGGGATGGCAAGTTTCATTGTGGGGGAACCATCTATTCTGACCGTTGGGTGAGTTGAAAGATTCATATGTAAGCTAGTTATATATTACATTTATTATTATCTTATAGATTATCAGCGCTGCTCACTGTGTCATTAACTTTGCAAAGTACTTCTACGAGGTGCGTGCTGGCCTCCTGCGTCGCACCAGTTACTCACCCGCCACACAAATCCAGCCCGTTTCCCATGTAGTGAGCCATCAAGCTTACGAGCGAAGAAGTATGCGAAACGATCTCTCTCTGCTTCGCCTGATTAATCCTCTACAGTTTAATCGCTGGGTGAAACCAATTTGCTTACCCGACAAGGGGAGAACAACGATAGGGGAAGATTGGATCTGGGGACCTGAGGAACACACTTTATGCACGGTGGTTGGATGGGGAGCTATTCGTGAGAAGGGACCAAGCAGTGAGTATTAATGCAATTTAAACAGTGAAACTATTATTACAATATACGTTTCCTCAGGTGATCCCATGCGGCAGGTAGTCGTTCCTATACGCAAACGATGCACTGATCCGGAAGATCAAGCTTCAGAGGACATTTGCGCCGGAGATCCGGACGGAGGTCGCGACGCCTGCCAAGGTGATTCGGGTGGCCCACTTTTCTGTCGCAGCGTCACTCAACCGGAGGAGTTTTATCTTGCCGGAGTCGTTAGTCATGGTAATGGCTGTGCTCGTCCGCAAGAATTTGGTGTCTACACGAGGGTCACTCTCTACTTGGACTGGCTGGAAATGGCAGTTTCTTCGCGTTTGCCGAACCGTCAGCCACTTCAATTCTGTCCCGGATTCATTTGCGTCTGGGGGGGTAAACGATGTATAGCTAAACGCCAGCGTTGCGATCGTAATGTTGATTGTCTTGGTGGCGAGGATGAGGTGGGATGCACCTACAACTTTATACCAGATATGGTAGGTGGTGTTCGGCAGAATATAAGCACCACAACCGAAAGTGACTATCATCCAGTGAAGGAAAAAGAGGACAAGCTGGATAAAATGCGAGAAATTATTCCCATTGAAGATGAAGATCTGAAAGCGGAACAGAACGATGATGAAGACTGGGAGAACACTACTTCCTTTGAGGAAAATGAAAGTACTCTAGGTCAAATGGATTTACTTTTAACTGAAGAAACTGCATCAACAACTTTAAAGGAGACTACAGTTCAAGGCTCTACATGGATTGATTCAACCACAAACCCTTCAACTATAATGACATCCTTAAATGTAGAAACGCCCAAAATCGAAACATCAACACTTGCGTTTACTTCAATGAAAACTGAACCGGAATCAACTTCAACTTTACAAACCACTTTACCAACCACCACAGTTCAAACGACAACCTTTCCCACTTCAACCGAAGATTTAACCAAGCTTACGGATTTAGTTACTCAGTTTATAGAGAGGACTACTGTTGGGACAACCAAGGAGCTAGTGACGACAACTTCCTCTGTAATAACAACAGAAAGTCCCAGAACAGAAACTACGGAGGAAGTAAAGGAAACAACAACGACAGACTTCACAACCACAATTAGCACTAGTCCCAGCTTCACCACCACGCCACTTACTACAATAACAACAACTGTATTCAGCACTAATAAGGCTGAAGAAACCACCACAACGACGTTAGCACCAACTACGACTACTAAATCCCCTAAGCCTACAACGACACATAGTCATTCTCAGAAGGATCACATACAAATTCCCAATAAATTTGTGTGCAAAAAGTGAGTTGACTTGGGAATATAAATTAATTTTATTTTAATGAATGATTTTCTTTGCTTCCTCAAGAATGTCCCAAATTGTAGATGTAATGATGCGTTGTGATCGTAATGTGGATTGTGAAGATGGAACTGATGAACTGGACTGCACATGTAGGGACTATTTAAAGGGATCTTTAAGTGGACTCATTTGTGATGGCAAGGCGGATTGCGAGGACCTCACCGATGAGCAGGACTGCGGTATTGACTGGGACTATAAATTAAGATTTTTTATATTTAATACAATTTATATACTTTCCAGGAGGCTGTCATGCTCACGAGTACCGCTGCCCTCTGTCAAAAACTTGTTTACCTTTAAGCAAACGCTGTGATAACGTGGTGGATTGTAAGTTCAAGGAAGATGAGAGGGATTGCTGTAAGTACTGTAGTACTATTACTATATATTCGTGGAAATAATCCGTCAATTTTTTATTCTAGTTGCCCTGACCAATGGCCATGATATACACTTTGATGTCCATCAACAGCCCAAGTTCAGCAGCGCTGGAATATTCTCTAAAAACGCTCATGGTGTGTGGCGGGTTGTCTGTGCCCATGAGACGGGCTATCATGAACATCAAGCCAATACAGCTGATGCCGTTTGTGCCCTCCTGGGCTTTAAGGGAGCTCACTACTTTAACAGCTCAGAATTCGTGAGCCAACAGGAAATGCAATCTATCACACCGGAATTAAAGGCAGGCAGGACCCGCATGGTGGCTCAACTTCGTTACATGGTCGGTGACAATATCCAGTTGACCGATAACGAGGTCATAATCCCCGAACTAGGTCTACCATCCGCTTCAAGACCAGAGAAGGATCGTCTGTTGCCCCGCAAGTGTGTGGGCATCTACGTGGAATGTAATCTCCTTTCCAATAAAACCACGCCACTAAAGACCTTTAGTGCTGGGCTTGCCGTAAGCGAAAAGCCAATGGAACAGGTTCCAGTTCTTCTGCCCACCATTGAGACGCACAACACTCCAAATGTGCACTTCAAGCCGCAAGTTCCATCAGTTGTAGTAAATAAAAAAGATGAGATCATGGATCGTCTGGACAATCTGATCAAGAGTAAAAAGAATAAAACGATACTGGTGAATGAGCAGCTCCACGAAGCAATCGAGGAGCTACATTGGCCTTGGCTGGCAGATGTCTACTCGAACGGCGATCTCTGGTGCATCGGAGTTCTGATTAGCAAGAATTGGGTTTTGGTCCATGAGAGTTGTCTATTTGGCATTGATTTGGAGACCCACTACGTCAGCGTTTTACTGGGTGGTGGTAAGACAAAACGCTCGGCCCACAAAAGTAATCACGAACAGATCCGGCGAGTTAACTGTTTTGAGGCAGTTCCGAAGTCGGATGTACTGCTGTTGCATCTGGAGGATTCTGTGCGATTAACCCACTATGTGCTACCTACTTTCCTGCCTGAGAGGTGAGTTTTTCATTTCGGAAAATACAGTTCAAGATAATTAAATTTGTTATTGCTGCAGCTCTCATCATAATCAAAACGATGCAAGGGACTGCATCAGTGTGCTTCATGACGATGCCACCGGTCGCATCAAGACTGTGGCTATCACCCGCATGAAAAACGTGACCAACTGCGATTCCTGCTACAAGCTACAGGAAAAACAACCGCCGGCAAATCTGATGCGTATGCTGAACGTCAGTGCCGAGGACATGGCTTCTATTTCGGAAGAGGTGGAGCTCATTAATGGGGTGGCGCCCACAGAGTTGCCGGCAATTACCAAATTTACCAGCTGCAATCAGTTTGGCCTAAAAAATGTCAGCGATTCACATCACAATCCCAGCGATCAGGGTGTGCTGGTCTGTCGGGACACGCACACCGGCTGGTTCCCAACGGCCATGTTTAACTACAACAACACCGATTGCCAAAGTTTTAAACAGCCATTTGGCATTAGAACATTGGAGCTGGCATACAAGTCGCTGCAGGATATAATAGGTGATTCGATTGTAGTCTGAAAGCTCGACCAAAGCTAATTTAAATTCCCCCCAATAGACAAACCCAGCTGCAAAATGTTGCAGCCAGCCCCAGAATGCAGCACCCATCGTTGCCCGCTGGGTAAGTGTCTGCCACAGACTGCGATTTGCAACGACCGATATGATTGTCACGATGGCAGCGATGAAGATGAAACCAAATGCCGCCAACAGAAGCAGCGATGTGCCCCCGGCGAGATGAAGTGTCGGACAAGCTTCAAATGTGTGCCGAAAAGCAAGTTTTGTGACCACGTACCTGACTGCGAGGACATGACGGATGAGCCAACCATCTGCAGTTGTTTTACTTATTTGCAGTAAGTCCAAGGATGTATATGGTTTTTCATCTCATTAAATTTCTGTATTATATAGAGCTACAGATCCATCAAAGATATGTGATGGCAAGCGAAACTGTTGGGACAAAAGCGATGAGAGTTCCGTTCTGTGCAATTGCACTGCGGATCATTTCCAATGCAGTTCGTAAGTTGATTATAAAAACTTTATACTTTTATTCTTACATTTTCTTTTTTCTTATCCTGAACAGCTCCCCTGAAGATTGCATTCCTCGGGATTTTGTTTGCGACAAAGAGAAGGATTGCCCCAATGGCGAAGATGAGCGATATTGTTATGGCATAGAGCATCCTTTGCGCCTGCAGAAAAAGGATTTCTGGGCCAACAGTCAGCACACGTAAGCATATAGATCTAACCTTCAGAAAGCGATTATGTTGATTAACCTTAACTTTCAATAGACAACCAGAGACGGCTCCTCAGTACGGACAGGTCATAGAGCAGACCTATGGCATCTGGCATACGAAATGCTTCCCCAAAAGCCAACCGCCACAAATTGATGAAGTTAGGGATATATGCAAAAAGTTAGGCTACAATCCGTATAGACAGCCCAGCTACCGATTGATTGACGATGAGGAGAGCAAGCCCGTGCACACTTATGAGTTAGCAGATAGACAAGGACGAAGCTTTAGCAATGAGTCGCTGTTGGGAAAGTATCGCGATTCAACCAAGGCATTAATCATTAGCAAGTTCTCACCTCTTCAACTAAACGATCGGTTAACACTGTTCCTCAAGTCTAGTAGACCGATTGCGGAGTTGGTCAGGTGGAATGCCACCGATTCCAGCATGTGCTACAGACTGGAGATCAGATGTGCCTAATAGCTTACGATGTATTACGATGGTACTCTCGTGGTTATCCTTTTGTGCGTTTTAGTAGCAAATAAATGCGAGAGCTGTATGATTTTTATTAATAACTTGTTTTTATTTTAATTTCATATTATTTTTTTTATCAGTTTGCGCTCGCATATGGTTGCATATTATTATTTCATTTGATTTTATTTTCAAGCTTGGGACTTTGGGTAGTTTTGTAATTTTAGTTTAACAAACGAGTTTTCGGTTTTTATAAATGTAAAAAATCGCCTTGGTTGTTACATCAAAATTCAAACAATGTAATTAATTAATGCACTTAATTAGTGTTGGGTTTCCTTTAAATTCGTTAAAAAGACATAGGTAATCGTATATTAAGATTAGTTTTTCATGAAAGAAGGTACTTGAGAATTATAAGTACTTGCACCTCTTGAGAGCAGTTAAGTAACATTTTGGAAATAAGTTAATCTCTCGATCGCTTCGTTGGTAATATAATTTAAGGTATAAATTGTTAGGGTCTTAAAAATCTTTAACGTCCGTTTTTAGGGGAATGTATATAAGAGTAACTATTTAAATGTATTCATAAGTCTTTGGCGCTGATTAGGATTAAGTTTTTGTGAATACTTTTCTAGGAGGTAATTTATGTATAATTCATTAGATAAACGCAAACGTTAGTTGGGACTTGGGTTAGGCAAAATACTTTCAAAGTTATTCGGTTTTGTTTGATTAATGTCAAGACTGGCTTTGTACAATAAATAAATTTCCATTTTATAATTTGAAATTGAATCACAAATGTCATTAAAGTATTATAAGTATGCATAGGTAAATGCTTAGGCTAGAGTTAATCATTCCGACTGGTGATTAGTTAGTTAGTGTGCGATTTATATGAACGTCGTGTGCGTTTTTATACCCAGTACTCATAGACTGCATAGGTACATTTCGTACTGATTTCGGACTCTTCGGATCTTTCGGATACCCACTTTTCGGGTATGCAACTTTTCCTTTAAGCTTATGAACGAGTACTGGGTATCTAATAGTCGGAGCTCTCGACAATAGCTATTCTTGTTATCTGTGTATATAGTGAGCGCATTGAAAAGCGATGCAAGTGTGTAGTTTGTTGGTAGATAGTGGAGTCCACTGATTGGTTTCTAGGATTGGGTTTATAGCACAGGCAAACAGTTCTCAATACAACCATTGATAATTCTAAGTTTAAGAGTTTATATAGGTATTGGTAGAATTCGGAAGAAAGCGTAATAAGGGTAAATTTTTAGGAGCCCAACTGTCAATATCTAAACTAGATTGATTTAAGCTTAAATTTTGTTCGTTTCGATTCGCGCGGGGCAAACAAATGTCGTGTGATTCTTACATATCGTTTACGTTGTCATGAAACACAGCAGTTTATATATTTACATATCTAACATACCTACTAAATTACGCTTAGGATTTTGTTAACTTTACTAACTACGACGTCTCCGTGAAATGGCTTACATTCCGTTTGCTAAAATCTTAATGGAATAGTTGGTGCGTTTTTATTTACAAATTGATTCGTTCTAGTTGTTCTCATAGTGTATGGTATATTAAAGCTTATGAAGAGTTAGTAGATTTCACTGGATGAGTTCAGATTTTCTGGATAGATTGGACCACAGGCATTCAGGAAGCTGAACATCCGTGAACTGCTTATAACTGTCGTTGTAAATATGTGATGGCTAGTAGATGATTTCCGGTTTATTTATGTGATGTCGATTGTTCGTAGGTAAACTTTAAATAAACTTTAACAATTTCATAGGTAAAATCTAGTTTATCATCCATTTTTTGATTCAAAATATTTCTATAGGTGCTGCTGCCTAAAAGCATCCAAGCAGTTCTTTGAACCAAAACTAACAACTGTTCACCCATATTTTTGGCCTAAAAGTATGCTTTACGCTCTACTAATAAATGCTCAAAAAAAGCAAGCAAACCATTATTTCGGGGGAATTTTCTTCAAAGTCTACGTTCTAAAGATAAATAAATTATAAAACTCATAGGGGAATAAATAGTCAATAAATAATTCATATATTTTGCTAAAACTTGCACACAAAATAGTTGCCTTAGGCGTAAAACAAATCTCTCACTTGCAATAAATAACTAAAAATTAAACATAAAATAATGTTATCAGCTTTCAAGACTGCAGGCGTCAGATTAACCTTGTGCGTTTTTGCATATCGTCAAACTTTGGCTTAGGCTAATTAATTGTTAAATAAACAACTAAAACATTTTAGTTAACATAAAGAGAAAAACTAAAGTTGAATTTACACAACATGTGATGCGTCTAGAAAATCCTTTCAAACGTTGACTACAACATTTCGATCACCTGAACTTCTGTAGCTAAAAGGCGGCCTTTTATTTTCGTTATCTAACTTGAGGGATTGGTTGATTTAAAATTAGATTGAGTTTCCATTTTCCCCTGTCACTGGTTTCTAAGAAGTCCTTAAGTTTATTTCCGCTCCGTCTTTTCCTCGATCTGAGTTGGTGGTGTATTTTCCTGGGTTCGCACCAAATGCGATGGCAATTGCATGTTGAGCGGATCGTTAATCCTTCTGAGATTGTATTCCAGCTCCGCCGACTTTCGCTTCAGATCGTTATAGTGCTCTACGTCAAATTGGACCTTCTTGGCGTTTCTATAAAGGGTTAAAGAGTACTCGCGGTTCTTCACGTCCTCCATCATGTACTCCTAAAGGGTTACAGATATATTGTTTAAGAAGGTTTCATTCTAAGGCAATACGCGATAATCTTACCCTCTTAGTAACACAATAGTAGGCATACATTGCCATTGTCGTGCCGTAGGTAACAAAATAGGTAACAGGCTCCATGATATCCCAAGAGTATTCCCACCAAGTAAGACGCGCCAGGATTCCAAATTGCACGGACATTAGGCCCAGACCCATCCAAGTCATAAAGTTGGTACGACGAGCAGCCTTTTTGCTCAGTTCTAGTTTTTTCTAAAGTAATATTTAAATTAAAATTGATTTTATTAAGAATTATCTCTGAAAAACCAACTTCTTCCAGTGGCTCGAGTTCATAGCGCAAGGTTTCCAGTTCTTTGGCTAGTTGGTTGCTCTTCTCCAGCTGATATTCCCCCACGTTGAATGCCTCGTAGAGCTGTGTTTTATAAAGATATTATAGTTCCAGATCAAAGAACTATCTTAAGATATGTCTCACCTGAGCAATAACCTTCCGCACATCACCCACTTTGTCCACAGACTCCACTGTGATCCTCTCTCTTTTAGGTGGATTAACCTCCAATGTGCGATTATTGATTTGTATGCTGGAATTGTATGTGGATTAACTTAATGATTGTTTCAGAGATCTATAAGAGTTACCCACCTGAAGGAGTCATCCAGCAAGCTGTCGATGGTACAGGACGATGCAATACGTACACCATGTCTGTTGATCACCGCAGCTCGATCGATGCCTCGATCCTCAGCCTTGAGCATCGCTAACAGATCACCAACATTGTGGGATATGGGTTTCAGGGCGAACTGGCAGAGTTCATTGCGACTGGGAAGTCGAACAGTCATATGCGGCATACCATTTACATATTCCACATAGATGTCGTCTAAGGAGATAAAAAGAAAATCAATGGAAATTAGTTTGCAAATTAAACTTAAATACACAATTTCAAAAATTTTATAAATTGCCAGATTAAAACTTAGATTTTTGCTTCTACACAAATATTTATAAAAGCAAATGACACATTTTATTATAAAAACATGTAAACTTCTTTTAATGTTTAAAAAAGGAAATAAAAGCAATTTTATTCATGTTACTCATGTATTTATATAATGCCTGATAATTGCTGCAAAAACCTATTGTTTATTTAGAGAAAATTGCCACTGGCTTTAGATAAAAATGTGGTAAATGTTTAGTTTGTTTGATTTAATTGATAATTGATTTAAAAAATGCAATTTTAATTACTCTATGAAACTGAGAGAAACGTTTATTGAGTAAAATTTAAAAACAGAAACCATCTGATAGTACTTTTTATAGATAGAAACCCAAAACAAACTCCCTTCACTTCCCCGAAACAGTTTCTCCAATCGGATGTGTGCCACTCTGTGATGCAGTTTTCCTCGGCTGCAATTAACCAAAAGCCACTCAAGGTTGTTCGCCAGCCTGGCTCAATTCAAATGCAGTTAGGCGTTCGAATTGCTTGCTGAGGCGTGACTCCTTCAATAGTGCCCCACCACTCGGAAAAAGGTGCAACAATGCCAGGTTGCAAGCAGTGTTAAGTCTTTGGAATACATAGATGACATACTGGATTTTGACAAACATTTCAATTAGCGGCATCTAATCGCATTCCAGGTGATGCATTGCATTGCCTTGCCTTGCATCTGATAGACAAAGATGATAGTCATCTTTGAGATCTGCGGTTAACGAAAAGTTTTCACTTTGTCGCATGTGGGATTTATGCAGCCATGAAGTAGCACAAACATATATTTAATCTGTATCGCTGCCACTCATGCAAGCAGCCAACGAATGCAACCACACGCCAGTGCAACCACCAATACAGCAACAACACTAACTTCTAATGAAGATTTTCTTCTCATAAGCTGCACGGAGAGAAATAAGGGTGAATCTCAACTGATCTTATTAATATTAAAGATAGAATATCTTGTTTTACCTCATCATAGACTCTATTTATTAACAAATTTGACTTATAGTTTGCTATAATTTTCTCTCAGTGTATTAGTTTAAATCGCCTTTACCAACTGGGCTTGATGGTGAGTGTTAGCTGGGTCTGTTCAACCCATTAGCAATTGTAGTCGGCGCCAAATGTGGGTAACTAGTGTTGTTATTGTTATTGTTGTTATTGTTGTTACTGTTGCCGTTGCCGTTGCAGCTTGGCTAACCGTCGAAGCTGAAGTCGACGTCGAAGTCGAAAAAGAAGAAGCCGTCGCTCATTGCTCGCTGGCTTCTACGATGATTATTTTCATGGACTTTGATTTTTTGGGATTTTAAACATTTTATGTTTTCTTTTTCTTCTTCTCTGCTAGTTTACGCTGCTCCTCCTCGGTAGGCTTCTTCTTCTTTGGCTTTTATTGATAGTTTAAGATTTTTGTTTTAATTTTCAGTTAACTTTCAGATTTTCGCGCTAGCAGACGTGTGCGTTGTGTTGGCCTCTCTCTTTCTTTCTATATCGACGTTTGAGTGGCGGATAATTTGTGTGTACGTGGCAAACCAGAAAAGCAATCAATACAAACTATAACATAATAATCTCAATTAAGTGAGAATTTGTGAAAATATAACATCAAGTGTTGTGGATTTATTGGACTGTATTTTCGTGTGGACAGCAGTTATTGAAAACGACATACGGTTCGTGTGATATATGAAAAGGACAGATACCATCCGAAAAAGTTTAATTCACAAACTACGACAGCCCCCACAGCAAAATGTAATAAACTTTGTGTGCGGCTGTCACAGATTTTGCTGGCCCACAAAAAAGCAAACAAATGTATAAAACTACCTTTATACTATATATATTCCTATATAGTTGGATGTTCTGAGCAAAACCACCGCAGACAGCAAGCAAACGTGCTAACATTGATAATGCCATGTCAAATGCTCGCCCACGGGCTTCGCTTTGATAGGCCGCAACTTTGCTTCATCAAAACTTAATAGCCAGTTTCCGCATCCCTGCCAAAACAAGGCTAACAAGTGTCAGGCAACTCGCACAAAAAGCCCTGCCATACTATATATGTACATATATAGTGCATGAGTGAGAACACGTGGTTGGCAAACCAAATGAGGCCAGAGTTTAGACCAGAACGTGGCGACCGCTTCCGTTGGCGGAAATGCAAGCGGCAATCAGCCCACAAATTTATAACAGTCCTCTACTTTTAGCGTGTTACTTAATGTTAGAGTGTTGCAAATGCATAGGGGAAAATAAAGGATAATACTTGATCAATCAAGTCAGTGCTGGCAGGATATATCCTTAAGAGCTGCCTTTGGTTAACAGACCTTGATTGGTTCGCTGCATTTCTTTTACAATCCTGAACTTTAAAGTTTAGCCTGTAGATAGATAAAAGTTTCTTTCTCCTTTGCATCTCCAATTAATATCTTAATACGTTTAGCTACGAGTTTTTTAGAGATTTAGCGGCAATAAATTGGGTTACCGATTATAATGAGTTAATTTCCAACATAGAATTTAATGTTCATTTTTCCGTATTTTTTCCACTGTTCAACTCCCCTCTCCTTGCAATTAACTTTTATTTAAATGTTAACCCAACTTTTCCATTTGCTAAAAGAAGAAGAAAATGCAAACAAAGAAAACAGCAGGATGGAGTTTTTTTGGAAAAGCGATTCCCAGCAATTAAACACACAGCACTTAAGTTTCGTTTTCCTGATAAGGCGACTGTGCTTGCCGCCTCTTGGCTTAAATTATATTTTTCTAGTTCACAACGCAATCACGACAAATGTCCTGTGACAAATGTGTTGCATACTTGCCGGCTGCCGTGATTTCCATGTGCGAGGGGGTAAACTTGCCAACTGAATATCTTAGTGTGCGGGTGCGTGTGTCTGTGCATGAACATTGCATGATTACATGGCAAGTCCTGTGCCTTCGTCCTTTCGTCCTTTCCCTACCCAGCCTACCACATCTGCCGCCATCGTGCAATGCCAGCAAAAATTGTCCTTTGTGCATTATTAAAAATTCCGGCAACCGCCTCCGTGTTTGCATATTTTTTGTGATTTAATTTTTTCGTAAATTTTGAACAAGATTCGCGTGCCAGGTTTACTTGCCCCGCCCCATGTTTGTGTGTGTGTGTGCCTCTGCATTTAAATCAAATTAAAAAAAGCCGCACCCCAGACCCAGACCAGGCTGACAACATTAAATAACTGCATGCATAAAATATTCAGCGAGAAGCATACGCTTTAAATTGAACGATAAAAAAAGGAGAAATCAGGCCAAATTAAAAGGACACCAGGAAGCGCAGGACCAAGCGATTAGTGGGTAAGTTGGGGGCGGTATAGTAGCTGGATGGCAATGACAAAGTGAAGACTACAAGGTTTTCCGTGTTTCCAGGCTCTGTTTCCAGTTTTCTTTCTTTTTTTTTGCTGATTACACTAGTTTACACAATTTGGAAAATAATTTTAGATTTTTAGTCACCGTGGCAGTTGGTTAAGCTTTGTATTTACTTTTTATATCCTTAACTTTCCTTGAAGTTTGGATAATTTTTCACATTTAAAACCCTTTTTTGACTTATTCTTGGAAAATCTTATCAATTTTTAGCACAACAAACTGCTGTAGAAACTCGTGATGGCCTTTTACTGGCAAAACGAATGTAAACTAGTGTTTGGGGAATTGAGTTTCTCCCTGTTTTACCTACCATTTTGTTGATCAGTGTTTTCGGGGGCAGAGGTCGTGTCGGAATTATTTACGAGCTCCCCAATGAACACCTTCGACGACAAATTGGAACCTGTTGTTGTTGTTGTTGTTGCTAATGTTGTTGGTCTAGAGTTGGTAGCTGTTGTTAGCCGTTCGACTAGGGCCTGTTTTCGACCCGTTGCACTCAGTCCGAGGGCTCTTAGCCGCGTCCTCAGCTCGGTCAAAGTGAGTCGCGTGATATCTGGCATGATAATGATTGTGTAGGCAAGGGCAGAGGCGTAAAAAGGTGTAGGTGTTGAAATAAAAAAAAAAGGAGATACGGAAAAAAACAGAAATTAAACAGAATTTTCCATCAAAAGAGGGCTTGGCCTAGGTGCAAAATGACAGAAGCTTCCCTTTTGTTTTGTTTTTTATTTATTTTTTTTTACATTTTTGTGATAATGAATCAAAAGGCAAGCAACACAAAAAGGTAGCCCAAGGAGGAGCCTTTGGCTTCACACAAAAAGCGCAGTAAAAATGATGGCACGTGCAGTTAACGCCGCAAAAAATGCACATAAAAAGCGAGTTGAAAATGTGTTTAACAAAATAAAAATAAGGCAGGAAAAAGCTGGGAAATGGCAGTCGTTGTGAATGGGCAAAAATGTTGATGGAGATGGTGGGGACATATTCGGGAAGGTAAAGCACGGAGGGGGAAAAAATATAAAGAAGCCTGTGGCTTGTCACAGCGTTTTCTTTATCGGATCCGGAAATGACACGCCCACACACACAAAGAGGCTGTTGAGTAGGCGTGGCCGTAGACCATCAAACGAAATGCAGGCACATTAAACTTAATGCCATTGTCATTCTTAAAATTAACACAATGAATGGCAGACGAGGCTTCACTTTGATTGCCTCGAAAAAGATGATAAGATGGTTTTCAATGTTCACGACTCCGAGGAGAAATTTATAATTTTTTAACAATATTTTACCCAAAAAAGTAAAGGCATCATCAGAAACTCTTTGTTAAAGATGATTTAAGTTCATGAATCAGAAATCAGTGAACAAAAAACTTAAATTTCTATGAGAAAATGTAATTTTGCTCATCCGTCAAATCATTTTTGTATCAAAAAACTGTAATTTTTCATCACTTTTTATTAGAAACATAAATTGCTTTTCCCACATAATATTTATTACCACTAGAAACTAATCCAATTTCCCCCGCAACTCCTGGTCTTACTTTCGCCTGATAAATGTGGCCACAGTTGAACTTAATTCCCCGCCATTTGAGCGGATAAACGCCCTTCATACTGCTTGCCATTATTTAAATTAAGCAACAGCGAATTTTCCGAAGTGGAAAAACAAAACATGAAATAAAATGGGAAAACTTTGAAAGAAGCAAAATATGCGTAAGCCGAGGGCAAACAGATACAGAAACCCTCATGCCAAACATTCAGCCCAGCCATAAAGCATCGATGCGCCTTTAAGCTCATAAAATATTTATGAAATTGCAGGACAGCAGAAAATCTTTTGAAATTTCTGATTTTATGTGGCCCTTTATGTCGGTGGCTTGTTTATTTATTTCCAATGTCAGCCGTTAAATCCCTGATTTGTGCTTATTTTTAGCAACTATAAATAATTCTCAATTTAAATCGCGTTAAACTCAACGACAATTAAGTTTCCTTTTAGGTAGATCTATATTTTTCAGTTTTCCGAAGCCCCGCCAGGTATTCACTTAATTAATGGAAAAAGGCCGCGGAAAACGCTGAGAGTTTTGCGGAAAACTCAACAAGCTTGGGTTGGTTTTGTGGGTGGTGTTTTGTGTGAACAAAAAAAAAAAGAAAGAGAAAAAAAGAGAGAGTACCGCATAGACCGCAACCTCAACCGCTTTACGGGCATTGTGTTTTTGCATTGTGCTTAGGCCTTTTAATATTTTACTTGCGTTTGCTCTTATTTTTTATTCACCTTGATCCCATTCCGCACTCTGAGCCAAAGGCAGCTGCGGAGTTTGCACAATAATCCCAAACTGCGGGCCAAGACAAACAGCGGGCAACAAAGTGCTGGGATGCAGCAGCAACTTCAATGCAACTTGGCGCCCAGAAGTGGGCAATGCTTTTTGTTTTTCTGCTTTTTGTTTTTAGAGAGAGAGAGAGAGAGATAGAGCGAGAGATACTCGCCGAACTGAAGGACAGAATTGGTAGAAGAGGCATATAGGACATATTTATGGCCATGAACATATATGAGTATATATTATATATAGTCCAAGGCAGTGTTCTTAGAGGCTCCATTAAAAATTGAAATGATCTATAAGTGCAGCGTAGACCCAGCGAGGCCACAGAATATGGCATGTCCTCGTATGGTGGGTAATGTGTTTGTCATGTTTGGGTATAAAATGTAAAGCAACCTTGATGGTGGGTATTTTTGTAGTTAGTATAGGTTATTACTTAAGCAGAAAGTTGTGTTATTTGGCTTATCAAATAAATATTGTTTTTAAATTCAACTAAAATGTTAAATAAGTTTCCAAAGCCTTGTCTTTGGTATGCTTATACCCATCCGCAGGACTTTTCCCATCGATTTTCCTTGCACTTTATAATTTACTGCTTTTTAAAACAATGTACTGTATGAAATCTCCGCTTTGATGCGCCTTCCTTTGACCCAGAACAACACCCAGCCCCTCCTACTCTTCCCTACAAAGAGAACTTTGCTCCTCACCTTGGACTCTGGACGCACAGAGCGGAAATTGTGATTTCCCCACTACACTGATTGTACGGCAGTGTGTACGACAGTATGTAATTCCTAGGGCCGGTGGGAAAACAAGACAAGAACCCCAGAAAACGCTTCGGTGAACTCTTTAAGCACTTCACATGGCGACAACGAGGGGACATTGAGGCCGTCGAGTGGCGACATTTTGAGTGGGGCAAGTGACGTGTGGAGCCTGAAGGATGCTCCACCCCTTTCGCCCACTTAGCCACTCATTAAACAGATAACGCCTCCGCCATATGCCACTTGGGTGTGTGTCTGTGTGTGTTTATTTTTAGACGCCACGAGGAAGTTTAATTAATTGCACAAAACTTTACGCAAATTAAATGTCAAGCAGAAGTTTTATTATCTTTCACTTGCAGGCTGCCCCTGGCCACGACCACGAAATAATCAAATATTAGAGACCCCCCTTGGAGCATACCAATCGTGTCCTCCGTGTCCGGCACATTTTGCACGTCAAAATAGGCTCCGGACAGAGTCACAGCCTCTGCTATGGCGGCACGATGGGCAACGGATATTTTCGAACGTCACAAACGTCGACATCGTCACGCCAGCGGGAAAAGCGGTAAGTGCCAATGTGGTTAGCCAATAATTACACTTCTAAAAAGTTTAATAAAGTGAAGATGTAAGGTATGTAATTTTCAAATCTAAACATTTTCAAGATTGATATACAACAAATCATAATTTAACTCTGATTTACCCTCAAAATATTTACGATTTATGCTAATGTTGACATCAAATTCAATCTTGTCCTGACATTTGACCCTTTGTCCTCAAGACAAATGATGGGAAAAGACAAAACAAGACCCTTTTTTGTTTTCCGAGTGTAACAAGGATGCTGTTCTGGGTCAGGAACCCCGGGGGAGGGGCAGCTAATAAAATATCCACGCAGACGGAGAAGGGTTTCCTGGTAAGCCATAAAAATTGCTGGCATGTGAGTGACCACCGACCCAGTTCCACCCCCCCAAACCCCTCACTTTTCTCTAATCAGCCTCAACTGGACATCGATATTTATGTCCTGCGGTCACAAGGGGGGTGCTGGTGGTGGGAAATACATTTTGTGGATGTGGTGTGACAAATGGCTGGCTAAGACAGAAGGGTTTAAAAGTCAGCCATTTAAGTTTGGCCTGACTTGGCAATTTCATCATAAAGTTTACGGTTTAATGAAGTGAAGATTTGCCCAAGAAAAGCTCAAACCACAAAGGAGATGGATAAATTTCTAGCATCAAAAGTGTTGACTTAACTCGAAATAATGTTACCAACTTTTCAACAGCGTTAAAACAAAGATACTAAAATTAAATCAGAATCGTCTTTAAAGAAGAGAGAACAGTAAAACATAAACTTTCTAGTGTTTTGGCCAAAAGTCGCGGGGAAAAAGATTCATCAAAAGTTTTTGCTAACCCGAAAAAAAGGTCAGGAAAATCATGAGAAAACTTTCTGGCTAACAAAAAAGGTGGTGGGCAAGAAAATGAATTCCAGGAGATTTTTGCAAACATAATTAGTGACCTTTGCTTTGGCGATGACTTTTAAATCGATTTGATTTGCAAACTTAATTGGCGGCACAGCAACAAACAAATAGCTTCTGGATGTCCGAGAGGGAAATGGAAAATTTTACCAATTAATTAAATGGCAGCAAAGCCAAATTGAGGCCGCAAGCGAGGACATGGCGAAAAAGGACGGCAATTAAAATGACCAACTAGGCGCCTACGTTGAGAAGGATAAATGCTGGGAATAGATGGACTGGGCGTGGTCTGACTAAATGCATTCATTCACTGTGAATCCTTTTGGTGGAGGACGTAAGAGCTGCTCCCTGCTGACAGCTGTTGGCGCTCTGCTCGAATTCCAATCGGCCGCCATCGAAGCGGCAAATGCATAAGCCCGAAACCTGACGAGGGTTTCCAGAAAGCAATTAAAAGCGATTTTTATTTTTCTGCTGCTTGAATTTTGTTTCAGTGCATAAGTATCAGCATTCTTGGAGAAGTATTTTCAATTAGTTCGCCGCAGCTGGAATGTTTAATGCTGATGTCTAAACTAGGAAATCAAAGGGAATTAAAACTTTCTGATAGATAATAGCATGTTCAGTGTGTTTGGATTATTATTGAGACATTAAGATTTTCTAGCCACTAGAGTTTCTAGAAGTGCCTCCTGAGAACAGAGCATTTTCAAGAAACCAAAACTTAAAACTCCGCAAAACCAATTTAAAGTCTCTGCTGGCTTAAAGCTCATTCCGTGAGCAAAATTTCGTATGGATTATTGGCAGCTAACGGAAAACATTCACCGACTTTCGAATGAAACCCACCAAAAACCCAACTTCCAACCCACTTGGCCAAAAATTGAATTGTTCCCGCTTGCAGCCGAAAAGTCTTGTTTTCTTCTCCCATATTTTCCAATGAAAATTCCGACGGTGTGTTGTTTTATTTTTCGCCTCCATCGGAAAACGCACACTCCGGACTCTGGCTGGCAGACTTGCCGACAGGCAGTAGCTTCATTTGCATATAGAATGCG